ATTTCATCCGAATTCCTCCGTCCGAACACAAATTGCAAATCGTTGCATAGTGAGTTTTTCTCAGAAAAAAAAGAACCACATATACCATGGCTCGTAAAAAAGGATTAGGGACCTCTGTTGAAAAAGCATTCTTGGAGTAAACTTTTGAACAGCCAATCTAACTCTTTTCTGTTCAGATTTCGGACTCGGAATCGGATCCATGTGAAGAGGATTGTTTCGAAGGCATGAACATCACTGTAAACGCCTTCGANTTGCTTCCGAACCTCAATCCGACTGAGCTCACTATTCCTTCCCAAATGCTCGACATGCAACTCATGTCTGTGCCTACAGTATCTAGATTTGCTATGTAATCTGCGATAAAAAGAGAATTCTAACCATAAATAACCTGAACAAGCCGGGTAAGGACATAGTGGGTGTGTCATAAAGAATTTTATGTGGGTTACGATATTTGAACTCGTTGATTGCTCGTGGGAATTCTTCATTTCTCACCCCTTTTGAAACCATGGTTGACCTCTATTTTCTCTGAAAAAGGTGGCTTGAACCTCACCTACTGATTCCTCGTGAGCAGTCGGCATACTCGTGTGTCGAGTTACTGGTTACTGCCTATGACTTCGTTTTGGTTTCGGTAATGTAGGGCACCATTGCCGGTCGATACGCCTCGGATGGCATAGGAACTTCTCTTTTCTCGACAAGATTTTTCTCGGATCTGTTAATAAAATGCTCAAATAATAGAGGTCTCTATTAAGTTCAGAAGTGTAAAAAGTCTGGGATGATTTCTCCACAACGATGATAAATGTTGTGTTGAAAACTAGCGGTTTCCATCATTTCGAAGTTTATTCAGGTCATCAATATCTTTGGCATAAGGTTATATAAATAATATGAAAATTTTTCAGAGGTACGGGTATCCTAAGATCGACGCTCCTCGTGTTCAATTGGCCACATTTCATCCGAATTCCTCCGTCCGAACACAAATTGCAAATCGTTGCATAGTGAGTTTTCTCTTTTTTCCAAAAAAGAACAGATTTATAACTATATCCACCCAGTCTGAGTCTTTACTGTTCAGATTTCGGACTCGGAATCGGATCCATGTGAAGAGGACTGTTTCGAAGGCATGAACATCACTGTAAACGCCTTCGATGTATGCGAT